GAAAATCAATTACAACGTCGAACAAAGTTTTGGCGTCACTCGGAGATTGGGCAGAATTTTAACGTCCTTCGGAGGTTGGGTAGAATTCCAGCGTCTTTCGGAAATTGGGTGGAATTCTGGTGTCAAGCAGAACTCTAGCGTCACTTGAGCGTTGGACAAAACTCTGGCGTCGTTCGAAAGTTAGTCAGAATTTCGGCGTTGAGCAGAACTCCAGCGTTGTTCGGAAGTCCGGCAGAATTTCGGCGCGGGCAAAACTCTGGCGGTGGTCGAGGAGGAGTTTTTCCCTCCTATCCCTCTCTTCTCCTTCTCTTCTTCTTCCTTCTTCTTGCTTTGGTCTCCCCTCATGAGAAATGAGGGGTCTATTTATAGATATTCTAGAGTGGCATAGCTTGTAAATATGTGTGAGATCAGGAGTAAATAGAGAGCGGTCAATGGACGGCCGATATTGAATCCCTTGATCGTGCACCATTCGTCAGACATTTGAAGGTCTTATTAATGTTGGAATTTGGCGATCTTGGATTCGTTTCGTCGAGCCGCTCGATTCGACTATAAGAACGTCATATTTGGAAATCGTTTGGTAACTCGAATTATGTTTTTAACTTCCCAACAGTGCTTCAAGTGCTTGATTTATTGAACTCATTTGGGCTCGGATTGAGTTGAATTTGGTGTCATTGAGTTCATATTTCCGAGACGCTGAATTTGACTATAAGTTCGCTAAAATTGAATTTCAGGTGATCCCTGATTTAATTTTTGAAGTTTTCGGCTCGATTTTGCCTCGAGATTCGTGTCCAATCATGATAATTTTTTGAGAATATAACATTAAAAGTTCCTTCGAAAATAAAATTTTGAGCATCTTTATCAAAGTCTAAATAGGCTTTATAATTGTCTTATAATGTTCATTAATGAATGTCGATAAGTCACCAAAAATAGTCTTGATCGTGCACAAATCTCGAGGCATACTCAAATTGGAAATTTACAAAATTAAATTCGGGATCATATGAACTCCAATGTCAACAATCTTATAGTCAAACTGAATGTCTTGAAGAGACGAACCCAACGATATCACAATCAGTCCAATCTGAGCCCAAAAAAGTCCAAATCGGTGTCCGAAGCTTAATTGGTATGTTTAAAGCCTAATATCGATGACCAAATGATATCCAAATATGGCAAGCTTATAGTCGAATCAAGAGGCTCGGTAAAACGAATCCAATGAGCCCAAGATCACTGAATTTCAACATCATTAAGGCACCTAAACACTTCAGAAATGCCTTATGATTAGGGAATTAATATGGGCCGGCCGATAGAGCATTCCAAATTTGCCTTGGAACTTCCCCATATTTATGAGTCATGATACTCTAAAAAATCTATAAATAAACCATCACTCTCTACATTAAGGAGGACCTTTAACTACATATTGGAAAGCTCCGAGGCTTCAGGAACTCCAGCACCACCGTCGGCGAACCTCCATTGATCGTTGTCGGACCACCGCCCAATCATCGACCACCGCCAGACTTCCACCCAACCGCCGACCACCGTCAGACTTCCACTTGACCATCGTAAAATCACAGCTAGGTTGCTGACTGTACAAAAATCAAAAGTACAAAATACCTAATCACAGATCAGACTCTGGACCGCTAATCCACAACTTCCTTCTCTTTCCCAGAACCTGAAAACCATGTAGAAAACAAGGATGAGCTAACAGCTCAGCAAGACATCAATCACCAATCAAAATCGTCAGAAACGCACATCAGAAAAGCCGTACGAAAATCATAAAACAAATGCTTATTCAATCATAAATCATAACAAATACAGAAAATGAAGTCATGTCGAATCGGCGTTCAGTACAGATATCATAAAGTTTTCAAGTCACAGAGCAGACAGAATCATACGGAATAACCCGAATCGTACATATATCAGATGATTCATAAAACAGATCAGATAAGTCACATAACAAATTTCAGATATCAAACATCATATTCCAGATAACATATCACATATTAGATTTTAGATTCCCATACCCTTACAGAATCTCGACAAATTCTGGCCCCTTATGTCTCCATTCCCTGACACTTACAGAATCTCAACGGATTATGGCCCCTTATAGCCCCTTTCCCTGACACTTACAGAATCTCAACGGATTCTGACCCCTTATAGCCCCTTTTGATAGCACAAAAACACTTTAAATATTCAAATCATCTTATTTCAGAAATCGTACGAAAATTCAGCGGCATAACGGCAGTATACGAAATTTACACAAAACTCACAGATTCAGAAAGTTACCAAATTACCACAGAACATTCACAACAATATTGTAAGACTTTCATTTTACTGACAAAATATTTTTCAACATCCTGATAATTTGCAGTTCACTTAAAACACCGCATAATCCAAAATATCAGGTAAAAATCTTCCAGAAAATACTCAAAACGTGCATAATTATGATCTCAAGACATCAAATTAAATAAAACCATTTGTCAAAAGAAATATACCAAAATTCGTAAATGGAAACAAAATTCAAAACATAAAATTCATCAAAATCCTCATTTTGAAATTGAGAAAGCGGAATGTGCTTCCTCGAGTCGGTACTTCTTTAAACTAAAGCAACGGATGAAAATGGACCGGAGTGCCCCAAAAATCATTTTTCTTGCTTTTTCTGTCGATTTTCTCTTCCTGGGCTTTTTCTCTCTTCAAATATCTCATTTCTTCTATATATATCAGAGGATCGTCCGGACGATGAAAATTTCGTCCCGGGAAATCGAAACTTTGTCCCCCGGGAAGATTCGGTTGGAGCGAATTTCGTCAGACGCGATTTAATTACGTCCTGGACGGATTTGGCTCTGTAAATTTTTGTCCAGACGATCCAATTTCGTCCAGAAACCCATGCAGCCAGAAACATTCGCACAACTGTACTGATCGTCCGGAGATCTGGGAGAAAATGGCTTTACGACCTCTTAGCTCTATTAATTGTCGACTATGGTCTCAACAACTCCGCCACCGTACCAAATTTGGTCTCTCCAACCAACATATAAATTGCTGATACAGTCCCTGCAACGCTCACCCACATGTCGACTATGGACCTCGGACACAAGTCTTCCCAATGATACTGGTCGTCTGACACTGTCGATACGCCGATGAATTCCCCTCCGAACCAGTTGCCCGACTACGGTTTCTGGCCGATGACAAAGCAATGCTCTTTAGAAAAAACTCACATATCATATATCTTTCAACTACATAACAATTTTAATGTGTCTATAATGATAATTGATCAATGCCTTCTCCCTCGCGGAAGTGTATCATTTGAAATATGACACAAACAATCAGTGAAAATCATTTTAACTGAGTCAGATCCCGTGGGTTTCCCATTTTAGATTTTCCATTATAAAATATCTTTGGTCTCTTATGACTCTCATACCTTCTCTTTTTAATGTTTGTGTGTTGATTTTAACTACAGATTTTGTATGTTGTATATAATGTACATTTGAAAATTTTAATGACAATTATTTGATTACATGGGATTTAATGATTGGCGTTGCCGGGAGCTCGAACTCATTATAAGCATCATTAGAAATATAACTTCAAATAAGGAACGAAATGTTTACAATGTATAGCATTCCCCGATGTCAACTTCATATGGCTTTGACATGTTAATCTTATTACAAATGGTGCCTTGACATTATCGAACAACTTTAACGTCCTCTCTAAATTTTCCAAAAAAACATCAAAACTCTTTGACCTTCACAATAACACAAAGAGAGACATAGTAACGAAGAATGAAGAAGACGATCAGCAACAACAACAACAGAAGACAGAGATGAAGAGCAAAACAACAACAATGAAACTACGACAACATATAAGAAGGGAAAAACCCAAAGTAGGATTTAGGGGTGTAATATTTGACACGACTGAAAACCGACCGACCCGACCCGGAAAATCTGGGTTGAACCGCCGAATTTCAAATGGGTCGGGTTGGGTTCAGAAATCGACCGTTTAAAAACGGTGGGTTGGATTGACGGCGGGTTGCGGGTAACGCAACGTTTTATTGGGCAAATTTCGAATTGTGGGGGCATGACGGCTGACGTTTGCGCGCATGCATCGCACTGAACGCGTGCGCGCCCGCTTGGCCCGGGCTCGGACCTCGCCCGCGTGCACGCGCACGAGCGCTGCCGCCGCGCGCTCGCGTTGCCAGCGCTGCCAGAGCGCCCGCTGCCCGGCCAGACCTCGCGCGATGCTGTCCGCTCGCGTCCGACGCCGCGCTCGCATCTCGGTCTGCGCCGGTTCTGGCGCCGGCCAAAAACCGGGTCCGGGTCGTGTCAACCTCCGGCAACCGCGATCGGGGTCCGGGTTCGATTTTCCGACCCGTTTGTCTACCCGGGTCGGGTTAGTGTTGACCCGTTTGAACCCGGGTCAGTTCCGGGTTCGACCTGAACCCGACCCGTGACCCGAAATTGACACCCCTAGTAGGATCAATGAAATGGCGCAAACGAAAAGCGAACATTAGGCCTTCTAATGTTAAAAAAAATGATGTGAAACCTTGCCGACCTAAGAAGATGCTCACTCGAATGCGACGAAAGAGATGCAGAAGGCGGAGGGTTTGGACGACGAAGACACTCACTCGCTTGACCAAAGGGAAGACGACACTGAGGCAGATAGGGATTTTTTACGAGGCTTAAATGAAAAGTTAGAATAGATGAAAAGGGAGGTTTTGGGACTATATCAGTAAATACAAAAAATTGGATGTTTGATATGTATATACATTACTAATAGTTTGAAATGTTATGTATAAAAAAATCTCAATTTTGTAAAAAAAAATTATGTTCTTTTTGTGAGAGTGAGGTAGTAATGGACGCAGAAACAGATAGAAAATAAATTAAAAAAATTTAACAAAGCATTAAGCCTAAGCCGTGCTTGATTAGTTGTACCTGACTACTTGTTTCTTTTTTAGTCATTTTCAAAATTTCGCCTATTTAACTAATCCCCTCCCCCTAATAATTCTTTGAGAAACTCAAAGGAGCTTGTAAAAATATTGCCTTCTCCTTCTTAACGCCAAAGATGACCACCGCCGCCATGGTTGCCGCTGAGAAAGAAGATCATGTGCTCATCTTCCCTTTCTTATCCAAAGGCCATACCATCCCCCTCCTCCACCTCGCTGCCGCCCTTTCCTCCCGCAACATCCTCGTCACTCTCTTCACAACTCCGGCCAACGTCCCCTTCTTCAGCCATCACCTCTCTTCCTCCGGCGCCAACGCCACCAAAATCCAGCTTCTGATCCTACCCTTTCCCAACCACCCCGATCTCCCCGCCGGCGTCGAGTCCACGGATTCCCTACCGTCCTTCTCCCTTTTCCCGACCTTCCTCGGCGCAACCACCTCCCTCCACGACCACTTCCTCCGCCTTGTCCGCAGCCTCCTCAGCTCCCATCCCCTCCCCTCTGCCTCATCTCCGACTTCTTCTTAGGCTGGACTCTCTCCATCTGTCGCCGCTTAGGCCTCCCCCGTCTAGTCTTCCACGGCATGTCCACCTTCTCCATGTCGCTCACCAAGTCACTCTGGAACAATATTCCCAAAGAAGAGCCCTTTTCGGTCGCCGGAGCACCGCCGGAGCTCCAGCTCACCTTAGCCGATTTACCGGAAGCCGTGATCAACTCAGTCGATCCACTTGACCCGGCGAATCAGTTTTTGGAGTCGACCGCACAAACAGACATCGAGAGTTGGGGAGTGATCGTCAACAGCTTCGCCGATATCGAACCGCCGGCATACGTTCAACTCCTTGAATCGTTCTACGGACCGGTTGCCGGAGGCCGAGTTTGGCTCGTCGGCCCGCTAAACCTCCTCACCGAAACCGAACCGGTGGAGAACCCCAGCTCCGAGTCGGAGTGTATTCGGTGGCTCGACCGGCAGCCCGATCGATCAGTCATCTACATGGCGTTCGGGACGCAGGCGGAGATTTCGGATGAGCAGCTGGACGAGGTAGCCCACGGGCTGGTTCGGGCCGGGATCCGATTCCTATGGGTCGTGCGGTCGGAAACATGGCTGCCACCGAAAAGTTCGGCAAATTTGGGGAGAATAGAGAGAGGGTGGGTACCGCAAAAGCAGGTGTTGAGCCACATGGCAGTCGGTGGATTCGTGAGCCACTGCGGCTGGAACTCGGTTCTTGAGGCGGTGTCGGCCGGCGTGGCGTTGCTGACGTGGCCGATGATTGCGGAACAGTGTTTTAACGCGAAGATGGTGGCGGAGGTGATCGGCGTTGGGATAAGGCTTCGAATCCCGGCGGGGGGAGTGGTGGTTGGGTGGAAGGAAGTGGAAGAAGGGGTGAGAGAGCTAATGGAATGGGAGAAGGGGAGGAGGGCTAGGGAGAGGGCGGCTGAGCTGGCGGAGAAAGCTAAGGCTGCGGTGGTGAAGGGAGGATCGTCTTATGAAACCCTCGATAAGCTCCTAGAAGAGCTTAGGAAGGTTCCGATGGCTACGGCGGTGACGGAGGTGGAGGAAGGAGAAGCACGGGTTGAAGGGGAAGTGAAGATGGTGCATAGGGAATGGCGCGATTGTCTCCAGATTGCATGATGATCTGCAACCTCTGCAAGCATGATGCATGCACCATAAAAATATGATTAAAATAATATTAGTGTCCTCCTATTTTAATCAAAGCGTTATAAAATATGATTTATAAGAGTTTCGGGTCGGAATATTTTCGTGTATAAAAAATGAATTTTGATTGGATATTTGAATATTTGTCAAAGCACTAACAAAATTTTATAAATTTATCATTCACATGGGAGAAATTATGACTTGGAGTTCGAACATGTTCAGACTTTAATAAAATCATGCCACATAATTTGTGTGTATAAATTTTTTTTGGGACATTTAGGTCAATAAAGTCAAACTTACACATACAACGCATACACATAGACTCGAACCTTGAACCTCTTAGTTGGAAGCTTAAGCTCTCAACCAATAGGCCAAGGAGAGTTGTGTGTGTATAAATTCTATATAGAGTATGTACCTAGGTACAAATTATATAGCTTGATTTCATTGGAATTTTGATGTGAACAATGTTCGGACTCCGCACCTATTAATTTCTCTGATAGTCGGAAGAACTCAAAACAAGTTCAATTCTTTATCAGCAGTTAATTATAAATGGTATTAATAAACAAAATTTTATGAATATTTCATATCACTGCAGTTTTTTATAAAGGTGATTGTCAATTTGTTGTAGGAAAAAAAAATATTTTTTGATGGTAAAGTTACATTTTTGAAATGACTTTTAAAAATAATTTTTTACAAATTTTTTTAAAAAAACTAGCAACCAAATAGTTCACTACTATTAAAACAGACTTTCGCAATACTTCTTTTATTCTACGACAACGATTAAAACTTCTACTTTTTCTCTTGCAACAGTTTAAAATCAACTGCATATTCGTCGTATTTGTTATTCCTACAAACGGCTTCTTCAACGCCTTTTAAATTGTTGTATTATATATACTTTTAGCAACGGTAAATTTTTTAGCGGTTTTAACCGCTACAAAAATGTTGTCTTACAAAGGTTTTAACACCTACAAAGCTCGACAATTGGTATGTGGTAGCAATTTTAACACCTATAAATCTAGAATATGGTCTATAGCGACGATTTTAACCGTTAGAATACTACATTTTGGATCAATGACAACGATTAAAACAATTTTTTTTTTAAGAATGATTTTTAACATGTACGTACATATTTGATTTATCATTAACAATTTGTAATCAATTGTAAACTTCATCACAAAACAAGATCATATGAGAGATACAACAAAATAAACAGTATTCAGCCCTTGATGCATAGTATTAAACGTCTGTAATATGAACTTTTATTTGGTCCGGTCACAGGGCGTAGCTCTACGTTCGGCCGCCAGTAGAATCGCACCACGCGTTCTCACTATTCACCGCGCGCCCCGACAACCCGACCCGGAACGGACCCAGGATGGCTCGGTATTTCTCGATTTTGCTCGATATTGGTCGATTTTGCTCGGCAATAACCAAAACCGAGCAATACCGAGCAATACCAAGTTGTACCATGTTATTGACGGCTGAACGTAGCTCTACATTCGATTAGAGGACATAATAATTGTTCCTGTAATACACCAATACAAAAGAGACTTATAAAATTGCTAATATTGACCACGGGAAAAGAAACTGGCTAGTATTGAAAGTTCAAGCCACAAGGCTAGCGGGTTATTTTTTTTATCTTGCTAGCTTGGAAAGGGAAGTTTTATTGACATTAAAAGCTTATTCTATCTTATCTGATTATTTTTTTTATGTTAGCCGGCACCAGTTGATTTTGATGCATATGTTAAAATGTTTATAACATTTCAAAATAAAATATTGACCATAGATAAGCAAAATATCGTGCCCATTTATATTTTGTTTTTTCTTCTTTTGCACCTTCTATGTCAATTAGTCGAAAGTTGATCATTGCCCAATGACGGAGCCATAAATTTTTTATTGAGAGGGCTTCATTTTTTTCATTTGGACTTGGGACCATCATTGACATTTTTAAATTTTTTTAATAAACTATTAAATATAAGACTAAAAATACTTGCAATCTAATCAATCTAATCATTGAATCAAAATATAGAATTCATAATCAAATTAGACCAATTCTTAAGATTAAATAAGCAAATTTTGTTTCATGTCTTGGTTCTTAACATAAAATTGATGCTCTTGGCCTAAAGGTAAATCACAAGAACATGAATTTGTACCTAGCATAACTCATTACACGAAACAAACAAACTACTATTAGCAAACTCATCAGTCTTTCCATTCATTTTTTTATCAAAAGATGCCATATGCAGACTTTTCTGTTGAGTTCATTCAATTTTAACAACTAGTCAAACACAATTTTTTTTAATTAATTTCATTTTAATAATTCTTTCCATACATCACTAAGAGGGTTTTTTTTTAATTTCATTTTACAACAGCTGCAGCCAAACACAGAGAAAAATCATACAATTGGCAAAATTTCGGGCCCCTTCTATGAAAGCCCAAATAAAACAAATCAAGCAGTAGATCCATAGAGAGGGAAAGCAAGTGAAGAGCGATTCGGCCAAATAAAATAAAATTTGTGAGCCAAACACAGAATCAAACCTTGATCTTAAGGAATGCATAAGAAAGATGAAAAATCAAATAAAACAAATCAAAACACAACCATTTCTATCATCTTCTTTGTCTTTAGAGAAGAATATCGGGATTTGTTCCATGGCATAACCACATTAACACCAAATGTCTCACTTGAACGTAATGTTGAGAAAGATAATGTCTTTGAAATCAGATGAAAAGAGAGAGAAGCTAACCATTTGGCCGTGGAAAAGCCCCAGTTTCGTCCCCAGCAAGGTTGAGATAAATTTGGTAAGTCTCGTCCGACGTCTCATCGACTTCATTGGAGCTCGATGAATCATGCCCTGAATGACCCACAACTCCCACCTATGCACAGCACTTGATCTCTGTCTTTGGTGCTGTCGCCTCATCCACAACCTGCTCGGCAGCGGAACAGAGAGTAGGTAATGGCTTTTTGAAGGCGTCGCCAACCTTGGAGTTCCAAATGCAGAGGAAGAAGTCAGTTTCAGGCTTGCCGGCGAGGAGAGCGTCGTCTACGGGTTCGGACTCGACGGGGGCATAGGATGTAGAGGAGAAGAGGATGGACTTCTGGTGG